GTTTGGACATATTTGAATGAATTTACAAACACAAGGCAGTAGATATGCTGATGCTAAAATTGAACGTTATCTATGGGCGATATCTGACGAAAATGGTACATAGGAACGTCATAGTGACATCATAATCATAAATGTCATAATAACACCGGACATAAACTCCGGTGCTGCGTTGAAACCTATATAATGCCTTTGTAAATAACCAAGACAAATTTCAAGTCAAACATTACAAGACTTTAAAAATGTATAACAACGAGCTTCCTGTCAAGAGAAACCGCACGCAATTAGCGACTAACCTGGAACAAATAAACGTAAGTCATCGCAGAATTATTTACTACAATTTGGAACAAGACTATTTACTATTGAATTATCTCTTGCATTCTTTCAGAATTGGGTAGGGTATGTTGAGACACACGTCATAAACCGTAGCCTCGACGATACCCTTACTTTTCCGGTAGTTCATGCCTCCTCGTTCTCGCAATTTGTTGGGGTGATTACATTGTAAGTTTTCCGTTTTATTTTGTCCGATTGAGAGTGTAAAAAAACATAAAAAATTTTTATTTTTTTTTTGAATTGAAAGACAACCATCGTTTATACAAGTCGTTTTTCTAATCTCTTTAGGCAAAACTTTGCGCTGTGCTGCCAAAATTACGGCCTAACGTGTTGTCCGATTGTGAAGGCAACGTAAATTTGGCCAGCCTCGTGGTAATGCGCAATATTTTCGGGCGCATCACAAAGTACCAACGAGGCAAAACTTACTGTACAGCACAACGTGTCTGAGATAAAAAAGCTGATCAAAATTTATAAATTCGTACCGATTCCTTGCGTACGAAGAAAATCACTACGCTTCTTAAACATGATAAATTATTTGTCATGTCTGTTAATTGTTGTTATTTACAAAATAGAATCGTCATGTCTGTTAATTGTTGTTATTTACAAATAGAATTCGTCATGTCAGTTAATCGTTGTTATTTACAAATAGAATTCGTCATGTCTGTTAATTGTCGTTATTTACAAAAAAGAATTCATGTCTGTTAATTGTTGTTATTTACAAAATAAAATTTGAAAGTTGACCAAATAATAAGACGACAAAATGCCCAAAAATTGTAACTAGTATGGGTCGTACGGCGATAAGGAATAAGAATAGTGCAAATATTTGTCATCATGCGTGACCGCTTGTCTCTAACTAAACGTGGTCTCGCTCACAAATCCGCGTGTCAATAAGACATATCTAATTCTTGATTGTTCATCTATTACGCTAACTATTTAATTAAATAAATGGAATATTTACTCTTTAAACCCTTGGGCATACCAATACTGCGTTAATAAATAGGATTTTTCTATTACTTTACATATTCATTCGCTTAACCCACAGCTGGATGTTACTTCACCTTCAGCAAGCAGACTTATCCGACTTGTTTCAGCCTCCTAATACTAACCATAGACACTTCTGCTCGGCACAAGAATGTATATCGTATAAAAGAGCAGCGTTGCTTGATCCGCGTTTTCGTGTAATTGACATTACATTCCCAGTTTTGGCGCAACTGAGGCATAATTGCTGGATCTCAGACAATACGCGTGGGGTTGGCGAAACAGTTGTAAGTGTCAATGAAGAGAACCAGTTACATGCGCAGCGCTTTATTAAACCGCATAGGCGGAAATGGGGTTATTATTATTTCGATATTTGAAAAGTAATATTTCTGGAAATAGTATTTAGTAATTAATTATGAGCTTTACTGCTTATCACTAGTTTCTTGTGACATCTACTAAAATACATCAGATACTGACTATGTCTCTGTTTCGAAACATGTAGTAACCAAAAGATCGAATGGTTTAGTAGCATATTAATGATTGTGAGGTGCTTTATAAAGAAACAGCTAGTCGACGTTCTTTGTTGTCAAAAAGGTACGTTCATCTCTATTTGCCAATTACTAAGGAGACAGAGCAAAAATTAAATTTTCTCTGCTTTCCCACAAACAAGGAAGATCGAACAGCAACATTTCTTCTAGCTTTACAGCCCGATGTGTTCATACATGTGGGCAGCCAACGAATGCCATTGGAAACGATTCGAAAGGGATTGCACGTTCATTCGGAAATTTCACGTTATCTCGTCCATTATATTCTACGAACGTCAGTCGTCAATCGGCCCTAGCCGGCTCATTGGACAAAACCTTACCGAGCCCAAACGCGCCGCTCGCGTGATATCTAATTTGGACAATCACCTTGTCATTTAGATCAACCTATGGTATGTCATCGAATAGCCTGCACCGCGAGGGAGGCTATCACTGCTATGTACCAGGACTATTAAAAGAATATCTAATGAAGCCGGATCAATCTCAAGCTTCCTCAACGCAAATCCGGACATCCACGCAAGACGACGCAACCGACTTTTCATCCTCAGAGTCCTCTCGCATTGCCCCCTCAGTTTCCATATCCTCCCTCTCATCCGCTTCAGCTTCGTCATCTTGCATTTCTCATACCCTCGCGCCCAATCACGTCGAATTCTCAAACTGGAGGGTTCAGATGGTTGATGGATAATCTTACGAATAATACCCTGTCAGAATTATCGAGCAACGGTTGGAAACAAAACAAGTTGGGATCGAGCCTTATACTTACACAGACGACTAGTATTGCGGATATGTTGAGTGTGGAAACGATGATTGAAATACGCTTATGCAAAGAACAGAGCGAAAGACAGGAATGAGAATGTATGCCAACAATGATACAATAATTTCAGGTTACAAAGCGGACTATTATGTCTACTGCATGTAGGACTCGGAGTGAGCGCGTGGGTTCATAATCATGGTAATGATGCTATAGTGATGGTGAAGAATAAACAGGAAGCATACCATGAACTAATAAATCCTCCAAAAACATGAGAAATTGACAGACCCGACTCTACGAACAGCATCCCTATTAAAATGAACTTGATTAAAGCTCTCGTTTTCCTGACTCGGAAAAATCCAGATTTCGGCACTGCGCAGAAGAAGACCGTCGTCGTCCGCTCTAATCTACGGCATGATGGTGCAATTTTTTGTAGATACTGTAAGAGCATTTGAGAAAGTACTGCAGATATCCGTCTCTTGAGTTGACATAATAATATCAATTTCATTGACAATGGCATAACAAGAAACAGCAAATAATCTATTTTTCGACGTTTGTGGAAAGCACGATTTATATGCTTGTTACCGGTTGTACACAGTAATAGTTGATAGATACACTTGATTCTCGGCTAGAAGTGCATTTAGAAAATTGTTGCATCGACACCAATCACTCATTCAAGCAGTGATATTAATGTAAAAGATTACGTTTAACTCGCAGCACATTGCTGATCAGTGAGCAGAATTGTCTTTTAAATGTTAACGTGATCTTTCTCTTCAGCGCGCACAGCTACAAGTGTACGAATTGTTTTATTAAACATGGATATACAGTATAGCGACCAATTAAATAGCGTGTGATAAAAAAAGAGCGCCATTGCCTACCCATTTTTACTCGCCAAAAATGAGATCCAACGAATACAAATTCTTTTTCTAAATCTTCCTCTTGCTCTTCAATTCTTCTTTAACATACTAAAGCTATACTATAACCGTTCATCACATATTTCCCAATGCGGCCAAGCTACTGGCTCTATATATTTGACTAGAACCACCTCTAGTTTCATTCCGATAGTGAACTATCCTTGTTACCATCCGTTCACATCTTATCCAAATATCCTTCCGTAAATCTATTGACTTTCCATCCCACGACCCGCCTCAACTCCAGCCCGCAAAGTTCTCGTTTCAATACAGCAACAAGATTTTGATCTACGTTGCGTGCTCGGCAGATGAAAATGAGTGACAAGAAATCACCATTCTCAATGTTCCTCTTGTTTTCACCCGTTTCCATTAACCACTCACTCTCTACACTTTCTACGATATAATACATCATTATCAACGCCAGGCAGAGCTCAATTCTATATTAGACAAAAACCCTTTTGCAACCTTTCCAAAACTCGTATTTTTTCCAATCTCATTCCCTCTAATCTAACTTATCAACGTTTTCATTTGATACGGAGCCATCATTCCCACACCCAGCGCACTATCATACAAGCCGATCGACAAACCTCTTCTTCTCCCAATACCGTCCGTCCATCTTCCCATTACAATTACTGAACCAATGATTTCCTAGTAGCCAATTTCATCATCCGGTCAGGAAGACAAAAAAGATTTTGATTTGCGTGTCCAAATTGGAGAACTTTTCGAACCATTAATTATACCGGGCAACTAACATTTTCCAATTAGCCATTGTAGAAGATTATGTAAATATTAGGCTATACAATCTAGCTAATCCTAACAATCTAGAACATTGGCAACAATATGCACGTATTAATATTAAATAATAAAGCTTACCATAACTGCGCATGAACCCAAATCCAGAATGAGACAGAAATATGTCGGGCCAATTAATCATCACATCCACCAAACATGGGAATTCAAATATGCGTTGCAATTTTTTAATCCCAATATCGGTCTTAACGTGAAGAATCACGGTTGTTTCGTTGACGTCAGAGCGTAAATATTAATAGTTTGAGTGTATGGTGTATAAAAAAGGGAAGAGTGAGAATGATATAGACTCAGAAAGAAAAAAATATATGAATAGCACTTACCAATAATCCGTTATTTAATCCTTAAATATATACATAGTAATAGACTGCCCCGACCCGATTAAATGCACTCGGACCAAAGGTATTCTAGTTGTAATAAGCCAGAGGTATGGTCAGAATCTGTTAATGAATTCACCAGAAAGCCGGTAAACTTTTTTAACTGCTAGTTTTGCGTTACCAATTCTAGAATATCATGTCTGGCAAGCCATCCCTTATTACGCACGCCATATCCACGTTCAGCTCATTGAGTGCGCTTACGCGAGCAATTGACGATATCAACTGTAGCATTTATTGTTTTATTTGCGTTTGGAAGGCGTTCAATGTTCGATGATAATAAACAAGATAAATACACATGAGCAACACAATATAATATACAGTATAGAAACTGTAAAATATCACGGCATCTCACTTACAGTTGGGAAATTGCGTTTGGGATGTGCCGAGACTTTTGATCCACTCGAACCGATTAAACGGCAAGCTGTAAAGCTTTTGGAAATCATGAGTAAGTATACTGTATGCTGATGTACGATGATTATAAAATAATAATAATAGTGATTAATAGTTAATTAATAATAATATTTGTTCGTAGATCTCTGAAAGACCGTCGAATTTTATACAAGTTCTGATCTTGCCAGAATGGACCCAATATGGTCCCGTCTGTCAATTTTTCATGTTTTAGAGTACTTATTTCTTCAAGATCTTAACATACCTCTGATATTATATCTTTGTCCATGTTTGTAGTTCTTAGAGCGCAGAGTACGTACACTGTCTTTCTGCAGAATTCCTATTTTGCCAGGATATTCTTTTCTATAAAGCAAACGTCATAACGGCTTGTTAAACGACACACATGCTAGTTGATTCAGCTAAACAGGACGCGTCGTAATTTTCTCCGAAAGGCATAGTCGGTATAATCCTGAAAAGTTTTCTAATCAATTTATGGTAGCCCGAAACAAGGTTCTCAAAGCTATGACGTCAGGAATTGAGACAGCTTATCAACGTTTTCAGCAAGAAAAATTAACCACCGAAGAGAAAAGTTGAGAATTAGGTCTGGTAGAAATAATATTATGGGTAAAAAATGAGGGCTTGGTTCAGGCTTGGTTTTTTTTTTGCGCTTTACTAATAGTTGTTTTCAAAGTCGGCAATAAGAAAAGTATTCACAAAATGTGATCGATGAATTCAGTTCTTTTTTATTTTTTATATCGACGCATACAAGAGCAAGCGATACGTTCTGTTATATTTGGGGGTTTAATAATTCGTAATAATTCGTAATATTAATATCTGAGGAAGTCAAGTGACTTCAATAAATAGATTTCGTTTGTTATTGATTACTCGGATTGAGGATTCAACATCCGAATTCTAGATATTCCACAATCAATAGCTGGTTTCTCCGCCTGGAAATTGTGAACTATTACTCTAATACGTCTTGCTGATTGTTATTGATAATTGATCTTGCGAATTGTTTACAGATAGTCGTCAACCGTGTACGTCTGCATCATATGCACGTTTCGTAACATCCACGAATAAATGTTGATGAGTTTAATGGATTAAAGTCACGTGGAAGTTGTATGGTTTCCAAGAATCTTTTTGAGATAGGTCGCTGGCACAGCAACTGTGCTAGTCGCAAACAGTTTCCGTGTATAGCACCTACTGCTTCTTTATCCGCATGTACCACATGAGCATTTGCTATTGTCAGAAATTGTCGCTGAGCATGTAATTCACAAAGAATTTTTTGATATGTTTAACCGTAACCGTAACCGTAACCGTAACCGTACCGTACCCGATTGAAAATCGAGACATGGTATCTCCATTAGCCGATGTAAGCTTTTCATTTTTCGCATCATGACACAGTACGATGGTACCGTCTCTTTTCGACTGTCACCTCGAAGTTTCGCAACTTCAAGCTTCAAGAGAGAAAGATTTTCTGTTTCCGCTGATAGAATCTATCTAAAATGGTAAGAGCTGTCTCTTTCTTTTACCGAGCGAGCAGTTGCATGAATTTGTCATTGAGGTTGTAATCGTGTAAGAAACCATGTGTAGTAGCCTAAACTTTATGTCAATGTCTGTTTTCCACTCTGTAACAAACGTGTGAATACACCCATTTCCAAACTTGGCCGATAGAAATCTTGACTTCTGCGTTCTCTTGAGACATTTTTTGCCTGTTGTTTCCGGTCTAGAGGACGTTATCTGCAATTCCTTGTCGTGAAATCTTGGATTGTTTCCAAAACTCTGAGGTCTTCAGTAATAAGGACAGGATAAATTAAATATTTTGCGTATCATTGTTACTTAAATCAATCAAACATACGTATTTGATGAACACGAAACTTACCAGTAATAGTAAATACAGTGCCTAACTGACCGTATTGGTATCCATTCAGACAAAGTAGCGGAGGATTGCGAGAGAAGGAGAGAGGAAGAGAGGGAGAGAGGGAGAGATTTTAACTCTGCCGCGAGGGCATCACTGCGGCAGGAAGGGTGTTGCAACCGAAAGGTGCATGATGTCGGAGTGGCGAATTTATGTGCGTTCTCACCAGTTCATCGAGCCAATCGAATTTGGAAATTACAAATCCAAATTTGGCAATGCATAGCAAAAAGGGGAATACCATCTGGCCATCTAAATATGATTTGTGCTACAAGATGTGATTTTACTGATGACTGCCAATTTCCTTTTATAGAAATTTTTAGGCAAATCGACTTAGGGATATGTGTTTTCTCGTATAATTTACATGAGTTACCTTCGGTCCAACGCAAGTCAATAAGTATCCATTTCCATCACAGATAGCAGAGATAGAATCAATCGCTTTTTATCGTTTTCACTGAAGCCTCAGAGGGGTAAGTGCATTAGGAGGCTAATGTTATCTTCAACATCGACGTGGATGGGGTCTCGTGCAATGTGTTGGTTAAAAGGAAAACGGGGAGCAGTCGAGTTGGACGAAAAGACTAGCGTCGTGGGCGTGGTCGATGTGGTTGGATTAAGATTGTGGAATAAAATCATTGACTCCAATAATAAGTCCCTACATATTGGATAATCACTAATGAATGTACAATTGTCCTTGTGGTTTTAGATACACAAAACAAATATTATCGAATATCTCTTCCGGCCCTTGCCAAACCCGTAAGGAGAATAAAACATGTGACCTATATTCGCTTTACGCGATTATATGAGTCATGTGACCAAAGGTGCTGGGAAGATTTTATGGCGCGTAGGCACTCCTTCCATCGATATGTTCTGGCCCGATCTGTCCATCAGCCCGATCTGAACCAAGTTGATTGTCATTGGTCCATCTTGGAAACCCCCCCTAAACCTATCACCTGACTTTTTCTGGTAACCCCCCTGCGCAAATACGATGATTATAAATTCTTTATTAATA